GAGGACGGGTCACTAGTCGGTCATACCGCAGGAACACGATGTCTCCCCTCGCCCTGGCCTCCCTTAACCTCGGCATCAACTCCCTTCTTCTCTTCCTCACAGACTCGGTGTAATCTTCATTTATATAAATATTAGATCCTTTAAGCTTCTTTGCTTGTTGCAGTATGTGTGCTGCAGCGTGTTCTCTTATCTTTCTCTTTCATCAACTTTACCATCACCGCTTTCGGTCCTCGATCAGAAGGTTTCCCGACTCTGTGAGCCCGCTCCATCTCAATTTCTTGATGAATTTGCAGTTTATCCTTTAATATTTCCTTCACCTTACATTCCGCTTCCATCCAGCTTTCTCCAGCTGACTCCTTGATTCCCTCGAAGATCAGGTGCAGCAAGTTGTTAAGTTACTTCATGTCCATTCTTCCGTCTTTCACATTATCATTTACTTCTTATTCATTGACGCAAAATGTAAAACATTCCATCATGGTTCTCGTTACCATACCTTGCTTTTTATTTAGCTCGTTCCATTTTTGTCCTGAAAAGTAGGTCAACAAACATTTTTCAGTATATTTGTTGTTAATGAAACTAACACTGGTTAAATGTAGGTTAAAGTTTGGCAAAAAGGAGGTGAAGCCACAAATTCTCTTGGCTCTGATATAGTACATATTTATAGGTGTAAAAATCAATGTTTAGACAAAGCTGGCTTTGTTAGCATTTTATAGGTCACATTTAGGGTTTGCAGTAGGTCTCTTGAGCCCACTTGAATTGTATATTGAAATCAAAGACATATGAAACATAAAATAGAGAAGATGTTATACATGCATACACTGTATAGGATATTTATGCAGTAGATATACAGACAAATTTTGAAATATAGATAGTGTGTATGTAGCAGCATAGCAGTGACAGATTAGGACAAATAGCCTATTAAAAGCCTCAAACAAATAAAGATAGAAACAGCAGCACTGCATGTACAACATCTGAGAAGCAATAAAAGGGCATAGGTTTAGGGTAAAGCTTGAGGTACTGTACAAATATAATGGCTGTAGTTATGGTTGCTTCAGTGCAGTACAGTTTCCTCATAAGTATAGAAGTGTAGTACAAGTTTGTGTTTGTGTGTGTCCACTCAGATAGGAGACAGGATCCTCAGTATTAATGATGTGTCAACGGAGGGAATGACTCATGTGCAGGCCGGAGCCCTGCTGAAGAACGCCATCGGAGCCGTCAGTCTGCAAGTAATGTCACAGTGAGACATGTAATTGTTAATCTCTAACGCCTGTAAATCACCAAGTTACTGTGCAGCAGGTTTTTGTGCAGTGCTGTCAGAGAAAGGCAGTAAGGGACCATAATCTGCTTCTTCGAATTCATTGCTACTTTTGTAAAAATCACATCATTTGCCATCAGCTCAAATGTCACATTTTTAACAAGGACTTAAAATGAGATCTTTTTTTGTTTTAGCAGTCACTTCATTAACGGCACTTTGCATGTGAACACTATACTGTAATTTTAAGAGAATAGTGCTTGACACTGATTTCACACTGTTTGTCTTCATGTTAATAAGCCTCTGGAAATAATCTTGCTGCATGACAAAAAGGGGAATTTGTAAAGAGCTAGATGTCTGTTGTTCTCAGCAAGTGTGATGTGTGTTAAAAACATGAAAAAGCATGACATTTTTGTTACTCCCACTGTACTAGCATAGGAGAGACATGACAGCATTAGGACACAGCTTATTGTCACCATTATTATCATTATTATTATTATTATTATTATCCCAGTTGTTCATGGCTAGCTACATCCATTAAGAGCTAAAATTATATTTGTCTCTCCCCATAGTTACACATTCTTGTATCATGTCTGTGTTTGTGTATCTAGGTGGCAGCAGGTTCTGGTGGATGCAGCACACAGGACCACAGTACTATCCATGCCGGGTCGTCAGGCCAGCCCTGCAGCTTGCCCTGCTTTCACAGCAGTCTCTGGTAAGATGTCTTTGCTGTCACTTTCTCTACTATTACTTTGGTTCCCTCCTGGTTGATTCATTGAGGCAAACCCCAGTCCCCTTGACAGTAATCAGGAAGTGCAGCCACTGTGTGCAAAGCACTGAGACGAATATACTTTTAGCCTTAATGAGTTGATGTGTTTTGTGTGATTTTGTATTTTGCTTTATTTTAAATTGAGTGTTTTCACTTAATTTTGTGTGGCTTTTTTTTTTAATACCAAAGACAAATTTGTTCATTTCATTGCATTAAGAGAATAATACTTAGGGGTTTTTGGAAGCTTATAAAACAGACATTTTAATTTTCATTCAAGAGACTTCAGTGTATCAGTGTATATACTTCAGCCCTTGTTCGAATAAAGGCAAACTAATAAAGGTTGTATCCCCAAGGACACAATATAACAAGCTGCATGGCCAGGAACATATCCGAATTGCTTTTGCATTCTGCCCCCACAGCGCTCGCATGTATAAGACCGTCACGCTGGAGAGAAGCTCCTCAGGCCTGGGCTTCAGCATCGTAGGAGGGTTTGGCAGCCCTTATGGGGACCTGCCGATCTACATCAAAACTGTCTTCAACAAGGTGAGAGAGCATCCTCCGCATAGAAATGTTTCACATGGACCCTGGTTCAGAAAGCCCTTAATTGTACTGTAATACAGATATATTATTGAAATATCACTTATATTAAACATGTGGATTTAAACATCTTTGTTACATTTTGAACCTATATATACATTTCTCTTATCATACGTGTTGTCATATTGGTGTGAAACAGTCTGCAATCTCTGTTCATTGTGATGGACTTTGTACTCTACAGGGAGCGGCCACAGAGGATGGCAGGCTGAAACCCGGAGATCAGATAATTGCTGTGAATGGACACTGTCTGGAGGGTGTGACTCACGCTGAAGCCGTGGATATCCTCAAGAAGACCAAAGGAACTGTAGTGCTCACTGTACTCTCCTGAGACCTGGCCTCCTTTGTCCCATTCTGATTATGTCTCAGCAAAGCGATGCAGCTGCTTCTTGTAAAAGCGCTTCGCACAGAGGCAGACGTGGACAGTTCAAGTGATATAGTGTTCATGATATGAAGAGTAGAAACTGTGAGTATAGATTTATCTGCATTTAGCTTAGGAAAGCTACTGCTGACTGCACACACAGCCCAGGTGTGTTTACATGCACACAGTATTCCCAGAATAAACTCAGACACCTGTGCTATGTGAAATAACTCATAAAAACAGGATTCTTTATCACCATGGCAACGATGCATATAGAAACCAACAGACCAAAAGCAGATGATAAAATCAAGCCATTACTGTGGTATCCAAACTTAAGAAGTCTTAGTTTAAGGTTTTTTCCATAGTAAATATGCACTGATATGCATCACTTCCCATGTACACACATTCCTGAATGAATTATCTTTCAAAACTGCTGAGTCTGTTGTCTGTAATAACAAATGCAATAGAAAGAGTACTGAAGAAACAACGTGACATCTATTTACTTCTGTTTCTTGAAGAAAGCCGATAAGCTCCTATAAGGCCCCAGAATATGCCAAGTGCTTCTGCCAATCTTTTGTATGGCAATAAGGTCTTAGGACATTTGCTTTGAAAGACTGTTTAACTTTTATTCCTCATTCTCATATCCTAATAATTTTAAATGTGTCATGTTGCTTCAATAATTATAGTATTATTATATGGTGATAATTTGTGCTCACCAGCTTCCAAAGCTGGTGATGCTCACCACATTATGTAAAGCATAAAAGTGAAATTAAAAAAAAATGTATTTTGTCACATCTGTTCAAAACCAGCTGCTAATACCAGTTACTTAAAAATATCGTTTCTGCATGTAACTGATTATTTATTATTGTTTTCGTAATTATATTTGTTTTTTTTAGGACTTTAAGGGATTGTTCTGGTCTAATGTGCAATCTTTATTTAGGAACCTTCTCATACCTGTTTTATATGATTTTATTTACACTGTGATAATTGTTTTCTTCATTGCCATTTGTATGATTTCACCTATGTGAGTAGTCCTCAGAGCCAGGTTTTGTGTAACATTGTATAACTGCATGTGTTGAAGTGATCTTAATAAATGTTAATTTATTAGAGTTTTGTCTCCAAACCCTTTTGTATAGTTCAGGACTTTACATTATTCTGCAAATGTATTTTCTGATGTACTTCTGTAGAATGTCGTCGTCATACAAGGAGTCACCTTAATATTTCAGTGATGGATGACAACAATCCAGGAATCTTTCTTTTTTATCTGATGCTTTGTGATGTCCCTGTGGAGCAAGTGGGATAAGTCATGTGGATATCACTTCATTTGACTTTCAAAGCCCACAGATGCAGACCAGAATGAAGTATTTGAGAAAATCCTAAGATGTCTGAACTCTTAAATAAGGACTCCTGAGACTGAAGTCACATTTTTATGATAGATGTAAGAATTGGTATTTTCATTTTTGCATCTATTTCCAAACCAGTGGCCTGCATTTTGCCTTATAAATGTTATATTGTTGTTATTAGGCTTTTTGTCTTTGTCATACACAAGCACATATTCTGAATCACTGGAGTTTATTTAAGGTGCTAGGATGAAACGTTTCGAACAGTATATCATGGAATGACAGAGCAGCACTAAATCACAGAGGGACAACAGGAGAGGAGGATTAGTTAGAGAAAAACAGCATTTCAGAGAAAGCTGAAGAAATTAGTCTGAAGTTAGAACAAAAACATTTTCAGCCTGAGTCAGAGAAATGCCTGGGCCAGAAGAAAAACTGGGTCATTTTTTTAAATGCACAGAACTTTCACTTTAATTAAATGGAGTTTCTGGTGACAACTTGACAAACAATACATTTGAGCACAAATGTCTCATTTAGGAAATAGGAGGCATCTAGGGAGATCCTGTCTGGAGCCTCCGCATTAATCAAAGCCATCTGTTCACATTGCAAGCTTTATTGAAACCCAGCCACCACAGTCTGGTTTATCCTCCTCCAGATGAACAATTGCTTGCCTAAGGCTGGGCTGAAGAGGGTTTTAAGATGGAGAAATTGCAAAATGCTTTTTTTTTAGCATGCATTTGGATGCTTTCTACAAAATAATGGTTCTTCCTTTGTGGAAAAATAAATCTTACATCTGCTACTTGCTTGGCATTTAAAACAAATCTACATAATTTAATATTTTTAACATGTGAGTGATGCATTTCCATACATCTCTTGTGGAAGTAGTAGGATGCAGATATATTGGCATCTTCCTTTCTTGTTTTTTATTCAACAAGAAAACTGATCTGCTAGTTTTCACAACCAGCCTCAAACATTTATGATGCTGCAGACCGCAGGCAATGAGACCGTTTCCAATCCATAGCCATTCATACTCCCTTTTCTACCACGTATAAACCCAACAGTGGACCTAACTACTGTACTGTGGCTGCAAAACTGTAATGCATTTTTATGCAGTTGAGAGTAAGAGGACTTTCATGAGAGCGCACTTGACATGAAAGGCACTAATGATCTTCTCTCTGGGGAAGTTAGCAGTGGACAAATGACTGTTCTGTGTGTGACTGTCATGTCTGTCCATATGATTAAATCCACATGATTGTGTCTTCTGCTGTCAGTGTAATCTGCTGGTACAGAGAAATCAGCCAACTGATCTATTCTTCTTCTCCATCCCTCCACTACAACGAGATTCTTTTTCAGGATGCCAGCCTGCCACCATTTCTGCAGTTCATCATGCTCCAATGCTGAGTCTAGGTTGTCACAAGCAAATGAACTGGACAGGTGGGAAATTTGGCACCGTGAATTATGCATGCCCATGTCAAGCCTTTTGTTCAGTGGCCAAAAAACATTGCATGCCTCGGAATTGCTCTACCTTGGTTTTCTCAGATTGTTCTGTACTTCTGCTAATTTAATTGTTCTTTGTATTAGCATATTTCCTAGGTGTATCTAACCCCAAAAAATGTAAATTCTGAGTCTGTATAGATATTGGTATTGGCCCACACTGGATTTCCTGCGCTGAATGTCAATCATGCAATCAATCAATCAACACTTCCGGGCGTTAAATGCCCTTTAGTCAACACTGATTGGTCGGTTTGGTGTCAGGTGTTGACCTATTGAGTGACAAAAAGTGTAAACATGGCGGAACGTCAGCAGTGCTTAAGAAACAAAAATAGAGAGAAGTCTTCAGCTTTAGTAATGAGCAAAATTAACTTCTTTTTCAGAAAGGCTCAAACTGATAAAGCGAGTCGTGCCAGTCAGCTATTATGTGGCGGATAATGTTGAAGACCAAACGGAGCTACTGGCGCTACCTGGGCCCTACAGGTAAACCAGAGGCTGACTTGTCCCCCTCAGAGCACTATTGACTCTGGCACATTCTTTGATTCAAGGACTTGACTGGGAATTTTGCTGCCAGAAAAACCAGACGTAAATACTTAGGGTAAGTCCGATCTCATTTTAATGGATTTGATGTATTGACGATGCTGGCAGATGTTACGAGCTGTTGGAGAGAGATGTGTTAGATGTTATGAAGTAAATATTAACGGAATCAATTTGTTATGGTGAGATTTAGCTCAGCAGTATGACTGTGCAGTGTAAATCAGTTGCTTATGGATAAGGCCGACATGCAGACCAAGTCTAGGTGCCTATTAAACTGCACCTCGGCCCCTCATCCCCCCCAGGAAAAAATATATACCTGACCTCTTTGTTTCCAATGGTAGCCTACCTACAGCCCTGGCTTCACGTCTCCTCAGATTTCAGTGGGATCATAATACTGCGCGCTTGTTTTTATGCGTAATTACGCAGTGTCAAGTTTCTGAGAGACCGCAGTTAACAGGCTCAGTGTGGCCTTTCCTTGAGGATGAACAGTTCATGACGGAACAGAAGAAACATTTTTATTTCTTCCTGCGTCGTTTCACCTTCATCCAATAAACTGTGTCAAGTTCTTTCCCCATTGGGTCACGTGTTATTGCATACATGCAGCAAGCCATGCTAGTTCCGATTTGCAATATAAACGCTCAATATATGACAAATTCTTCTGGCAAAAGTAAATGACCTGTAAATTTAATCCTATCGTAGTAATACATTATATCCACATGAGGGCGGTGTGTGTGCTGGTATGAACACATGGTAAATATTCATGGACCAAATCCAACATCGGTTAGAAGCAACATGACTTCCAAGTGGTGTAATATGCCAGTTGGCGTCTGGCTCCAACAAAAGGCCTCTTGTATTAAGACCTGTCTGTGGTCTGCTCATGCAGTTAAAGCATATTATTCACATAGCAATAGGTCTTAAGTGCAGTATGAAAAGAATAGGAACACAAACATAAAACACAATTTGACCCATTGTATAATGATTATTGATCATACATAGAATAACAGTTTGGCTCTTCTTCATCTCTTAGCTAAATGATGCTACTATATTCATCCAGTGTAGGGGAGAAAAAAAAACATTTTGCATCATCAAATGACTGATTTTACATATCCGGTGGATAGTGTGACCCACGGCCAGTAAATGTATCCTTGTAACCTCTACCAATAGGCATTTGTCCATTAATTATAAGCTGAGATGGTCCAGACAGACTAACTGGTTGCAGTCTGAATTCTGTGTTGTATGTTCTATTTCCTTTTTTCTTTCCTCCTTTTGTTTATTTTACATGCAACTAAACATCGTCACAGTCAGCAAATTGATGCACTGCATATGGGACGTCTAGCTAAGAGCTCATTTGCAGCCCACCCCCCCCCCCCCCTCTTCACCA